TATTCAGACATGTAAATACGTGTGTACTAATGCATATATAACTTTAAATCTACAAAATATTTACACATATAAATACATATTTTTATACATTTATATATACATATAATGTATAAACCATATAAGTATATGTATATTTCTGGTTTGTGTGATTCATGTTTATGTATATGTATACATGTATGTATTCTTTTTTTAATGACACATTTATATGTATATGTGTTCATACAAAATATATTCATATATATTTACAAGGATAGCATACAGTGAATGCCATCACTTATAATTTAATAGCCAACTTAGCATTTATACAGCCTTTATACACATTATAAATGTACATGTATACATTATGATGTATGTATATGTATGTACATGTATGTATTAAATTATCTATATATTATACACACAAACATATTACACACACATATATGTAAGTACACATTTGTGCATATGCAAATATACTATGTGCATATTGTAATACATACATACTATTATGTGCATAAGATAAATGTACATATATATACATCTCTGATGTAGGGACCAGGATGGTCATGATCTGACGTAGTATTTTGTTTAAAAATAATACAGTTATGTTTTTGAACTGACTTAGTATGTTATTTCAGATTTGAATGCTCCTTGCTTAAATACGTACATATTTATGCACTCTGAACAATGATCATATGCTCTCTGAGAAGCTGTAAATTATTAATCATGAGTATTTGAGGAAGCCGAGAGTTCTAGATGGGAGATTAGTCCAGAGAAGACTAGTTCACTGGGTTGCTTTTCTAGAGTCTAGGATAGGGTTTCTCCGCTACTGCACTATTGACATTTGGGATTGGATAATTCTTTGTCATGGAGGATTGCCCTGTGCACTATAGGATGATGGCAGCACCCCTGGCCTCCACCCACTAGATTCTAGAATTTCCCCAAGCTGTGATGACTAGAGTGTCTCCAGATGTTGCTAACTGTCCCCTGGGGTGTTAAGTCACCTTCAGTTGTGGTTCACAGCTTTGCAAGTCTAGAACGTGTATTTCACTGCATTTACTGGTGCCATCAGAGAAAGCTTTTTTTCTGGAATTCAGTTCACAGGAGACTGATGTTTAATCCATAATTCCATTTTCTTAAGGTCTAGAGGGACTATTCCTTTTACTCCAGACTTGTTATTGCCGTCTGAAACCTCCCTCCCTTGTTTCAAGACTGTTGAAGATCAATAGTTTTATAGTTTATTTATTATTTTATAGTTTTGTGGTAATAAGTTGCTTGGCACATCTGGAATAAGAGTAATACGACTTTTTTTTTTTTTTAAAGATTTTATTTATTTATTTGACAGAGAGATCACAAGTAGGCAGAGAGGCAGGCAGAGAGAGAGGGGGAAGCAGGCTCCCTGCTGAGCAGAGAGCCCGACGTGGGGCTCCATCCCAGGACCCTGAGATCATGACCCGAGCCAAAGGCTGACGCTTAACCCACTGAGCCACCCAGGCGCCCCAGTAATACAACTTCTTGAGGGACAGTTGTTTATGTCATAATGGTATCTGATGAAATTCCTGTATTCCAAATCTAAAGAAATAGTTGTAGTTAGGTCGTTCTTACATCCTGGATTCTAGGCCCCAGCTAACTTTTTAGACATCGTGGTTCCACTTCAGTGAGACAAGCAAATTAACCAAAGTCTGTATGTCAGTTACCTCATCTGTAAGTAATATTGGTATCTCAAAGAGGAGAGAGAGTGATAGAGATTAATAACTTTGTGAAAATTGTTAAGTTCTTAGCACAGAATATTTACTGAATGTCTGTTTGTTATTATTAGTTTTATGCAAGAATAACTTTAGAATATTTTATTGCTAAATAAACACACAGTAGTTCATGGGGGAAATATGTATGTTCGTGGTAAAACATAATAAGGTCAGGTAGTCACCACTCAGACCAATAACTGGAACTTTACCAAACACCAGAAGCCTCCCTGACCCATTTCCCATATCCCATGTCTTTCCCCCTATAAATGAAATCACACCCATTCTCTTATTTTAATGCCACCATAAGCTAAAAATAGAACAGTATTGATTCTCAGTTTATAATGGCAAAAACAAATGAGCAGTAAATATATGCCCTCAAGAGTGATTGCACTAGAGAGGCATTTTACATCTGAAACATCGATTTGAATCTGCATAATTGATTGTGAATTGCAGTTAAACACCCTTTTTTGGTCACACTTACACCTGAATACTAATAATGATTCAAAAATGACTGTACTTCTGGTAAATACACCGGCACATGCCCTCTCCCCATAGAGATCATGCACTTGTTTGCACATGCAGACGCACGCATGGCCCTTTCCACGGTGCTCTAAGGCGTTTTGGTAAGTTGCTCATGGCTGGGCATAATCAGAACTCCCTCTGTCACCCCATGAATTGTGTGTCTCTTTATGTCTGTCCTCCTTAATACTTGAATTACCCACAGAGGGACAGGGTCAGTACTTAGGCCAATCAGTAGACATGCGTGAACCGTGGGCCAGTTACCAAGTCTGTCTTAAGAGTTAGCTGAAGAACTTCAGGTGTGCAGGAAGAAAAAGTGGACTCTAAATGAAAATGAGATGGTCTTAAAAAGTGAAATGCTATCTCAGGCAAATTCTTCTGAAAGGCGTGCCGATGTTAAGTTGGCATTCCTTATCTCTTATACTCTAGACATTTAGCTTTAAAGAAAAACATTTCAAATAGCAGGACTTACAACAATATTGTAGTTTGAATACTAAAGCAATGAAACTACTAATGACTTTAAAAATAACTGTTCAGGCAGAATAAGCTTCATAAAATTTCAAATGAATCTAGATAATTCCTAGATTAATTTAAATGAAATTGCTTACTGTTAATTTAAAAATTAGGACAATAACCTTGCATGATTTTTAATTACCAATTATGTTAAATTCTAAATATGAAAGAAGTATTTTTTCTGATTAGAGTAAAAAATGGCAACAACTTAATAATTGTATAAAATAAAAGACAAATATATAAAGATTGAATATATTGAAGAACTAACTGAATAAAATAAGCATATATGGATATTGTGGTCACCATGAGATTATTCTTATCCCTTCCCTCTTTCTTTGTGCCTTATTTTTAATTTTGTATGTGGTACACATAAAAGCATAGATGATAGGGGCGCCTGGGTGGCTCAGTGGGTTAAAACCTTTGCCTTCCGCTCAGGTCATGATCCCAGGGTCCTGGGATCGAGCCCCGCATCGGGCTCTCTGCTCAGCAAGGAGCCTGCTTCCCCCTCTCTCTCTGCCTGCCTCTCTGCCTACTTGTGATCTCTCTCTCTCTCTGTGTCAAATAAATTTAAAAAATCCTAAAAAAAAAAAAAAAGCATAGATGATAGACAGATGTATGCTTTCATATGTATCCTTATGTGCATGTTGATGTATACATACATGTATATACACACACTATAGACACATTACCTTCCTCCAGAAGTAACCACTATCCTGAATTTTATGCTTTTCATTTCTTTGTTTTTTTAAATAGTTTTTTAAAATTCACATGTATTCCTAAACAACATATTGCTTAGCTTTGCTTATTTTTAAGATACTTAAAACTATCAAATATGTCTTATATGGTCTCTTATAATTTGATTTTTTTCACTAAAAATTTTGTGTCTAAAGATCCAACCATATCTTCAGTGTGCATTTGTGTGTTTCCTTTGTATTGATGCAGATTACTCCATTGTGATGAGTACTATAATTCATTGATCTGTTCTTTGGTCATTGGGTGTTTGAGTTGTGAACGATTCTTTTCTATTATGAGCAGTGTTGCTGGAAACTGCATGTCTCCTGGTGCACAATGCAAGAGTTTCTCTAGGTCAGTGTTTCCCAACTTTTCTCTTCTCATAGGACAGAGAAAATACTAGTACTTGTATCACATCCTTGGGTTAGAAAGGCAAACTCCTTGAGACCAACAGTTCGTCCTAGGGATACTCTGCCCAGGATGGCATATGTATCAGGGGAATTGGAAGAGCGTCAGGGTACGGAAAGTTCAAATGCACAAGCTAATGACAAATGGTTTTTTAAAGTAGGTGCTCAAATTTACACTCCTACTAGCAGCCTGTTGGAGCTTCTCTTGGCCCACATTCTGCAGATGATCTGGTGTTGTCAAAATTCTCAAATCTTGAGAATATACTGTCTGTAAAATAGTATCTAACTGTAGTCTTGATTTACACTTCTTTTTACTGATGAGTTAGATCATCAGTTTATATAGGTTCTGTTCTGTGAGCTCTCCGCTCTTCTGTTGTGCTATTTTTCCAAGTGTGTTTTCTAACTGATTTAAAGGTAGTTTTTCTTTCTCTCTGTCTCTCTTTTTTAAAAAAAGATTTATTTATTTTAGAAAGAGAGTGTGTGTGTGAGTTGGGGGTCAGGCAGAGGGAAAGAATCTTCAAGCAGAGTCCCTGATGGGCATGGAGCCTAACCCAGGACTTGATCTTATAAGCCATGAGACCATGACCTGAGCTGAAACCAAGATTCAGACGCTCAACCGAGTCACCTAGGCAACCCCATTTTTATTTTATTTTATTTTCCTTAATTTAGCATACTAATCATATGCTGTTTTGCACGTACTTTTCACAGATGATGTTTCTCTTTGTGTCTTTTGGCAACCATAATTTCTTAATTTTAATATAGTTTAATTTATAAATCTTTCCTTATATACATTTTTTATAAATTCAGTATACTGACTAGGTATTTTTGTTTCTTGCTTTTGGTAAACCTTTTTTCCACTTCAAGATATTATCATTTCTGTGGAAATGTTTCTTCCCTATTTTCCTATTCTCTTGTCTTTCAATTCTTTTTTCTTTTCTTACTGAACTTAATAGACCCCGAATGGAAAATTGCATATAAGCAGCGGGCATGTTGTTCGAGATCGTGGTACCTTTTTGCTTGGTTTTGTTTTGTTTGTTTGACCTGTTGGATCCAAGAAAGCGGTCAGCACTGTACTCACCTGAACGCGGGTTTTCCCTTTTGGCAGATGATTGTGATGAGCCTCTGGTGTCCACCTTGTCTCAGGCATCATTCAGCAGTTCGTCCGAACTTTCTAGCAGTCATGGTGCTGGATTTGCAAGACTAAATCGAAGAGATGGTAAGTCTGCTTTTTTCCTTCTGATCGGTTCATGATGAATCTCATTAAATTTCCATTCTCTTACAATAAAATCATTGCAGTATTTTGAAAGGAGGTTCATTTCTCAATCAGCAAATGGCTGGAACTCATGGGACATTTAGGGCCTGTAGGCCTGGTTCTGGAACGGCCAAGGGTCACATCCTATTTTAAAATCCTGTATCATCATTTCAGCACCAGAAGAACCGAATTCCTTCAGTATGGTGAGCTTCATTATCTCTTATAAAATAAACCTTTCCACAACAATATACATCATTATGTAGATAGTAGCCATGAAAATTTAACTGACCCTCTATTTCAAGTTAAATAGGGATCTCGCCAGAAGAGGTAATTTTCAAAGATGCTAGTTATTTAAAAATAAGAATCCCACCGTTTGTTTCATTCTCAATATAGGTGACATGATTTTCTCTTCTGTGGAGGAAAGAGAACTTAATAAGTTTCGTGCTCCTGTAGGAATACTCAGTTCATACTGTTGACAATCTCTTAGGTAGGTTGTGTTTGATTGCTTGACTATGTTTAAAGGAAGGTGAGGATAATTAAAAGGCAACTTGCTATTGAAGTAAGAGAGAATTTCAAAACTCTGCACACTTAGACACAGCATCATCGTGGCCCCTTTCCATAATATGCTAAGGCAAAAGCCATCTGCACTTACATTCTATGGAAGGAGGCTTGGCAATCCTAACACAGAAAACATTTTTAGCAACCATGAAAAAATAGACACCGACATCATATATTATTGAAACCGTGATTTGCTCATTTATTATCCCCTTCTCGCATGCCATATGTCAGCCACTTCTCATTTTTCTCCTTGGTGTTATCCTTGGTGCTGTTGTAATGCTTGAGCACAATGAACATTGGACATAACAAATGGATCATACGTGTGTCTGTCTGTCTGTCTGTGTTTTGCCATCTGGTACACATGATAAATATCTGATACTTTAGCATGACTTTAAATTTAAGTTTATTTTAAAATGATATCTCCTCTTATTTGAGACAATCACTTATGTGTGTTTCTGGGTGTGAAAGCATCAGTGGGAGAGCAAACACAGAGATCCTTGTATCAAATGGGGAATTTGAAGAGCTTTGAATACATTTACGTAGACCCTGCTTGTCTGTTACTTTTATTTGCCTTGTAGTGAGGGTTAATGGTCACACTGGACTCTCTCTCCTTATTTGCAATTCTGAATTTTTGACCAAAGGCAAGTGAGCTCTCCTAGCCCCTCTGGAGACCAGTCCAGCCCTTGCCCCCACAGTTCTCCTAGCAGGAATGCTGACATCACAGCACTGATCTTACAGTGAGCCCTTATAGTCCTTTTCAAAGTAGGGCAGGCTTTTACATTTACCATAGCTCCATTTGAATAATAAGAGCTTTCTTAGAATCTGGCCCATGGAAGGGTACAAAATTTAATTTAACTATTTATCATTATTTTGTTTGTTGAAATTTAATAAATCACACAAAATATATATGTTATTAATTGGATCAGGTCATATTTTACATTTATTTATAGACTCATCAGAAGTCCTCATGAGTGAGACTCATTTTCATTCTTAATTCGTTTCTATGGCTCTTGGTGAACCACAATATCAAACTTCATGAATCTCATTTGCATGTTAATGAAATGGAGAAACAAAAACAGGATCATTTTAATTATCTTTTGCTGGTTGTCAACCTACTTGATTACATTTTTTTCTTTTTTATCTAGTTTTTCTTTTTTCTTTCCTCTTAATTACATCAAGTGTTTACAAAGGAATGTCAGATTTTGAGTGATTTATTAAAGGCTATATGTTATTTCTACTATCTACATTTCTTGTAGTTTATTTATTTTTAAAGATTTTATTTATTTGAGAGAGAGAGAGAGTGTGAGAGAGAGTGAGTGGGGGGCAGAGAACGAAAGAAGCGGGTTGCCTGCTCATCAGGGAGTCTGGCATAGGGCTCGATCCCAGGACCCTGAGATCATGACCCAAGCCAAAGGCAGTTGCTTAACCCACCGAGCCACCCAGGTGCCCCTCCTTGCAGTATATTTAGGCTGTGGAAGGGTGTTTCGTCAAGTCAGGAGGTCATGTATAAATAAACCAAATCAACAAATGAAGGTCAAAGTGTCCCAGAAACACAGATAGAGTGACCTCTCTCTTGTGGAATCTAGAAAACTTAAAGCCAAAGAAAGACAAACGAGAAACAAAGAATTAGGCTCATCCAGCTGCTCTTCTCTCTCTGTGAGCTAAATGCCTCGGTTAACTGTGAACATGAGGCTCTGTTATTCCCGTGCTGGGAGAAGGAGACCAGGAAAAGATACTGTTGAACATAATGAGTCTACCAGGAGGGAAGAAGAAAAATGAACCTTTCAAAGGAATATTAATTAAATTTTACCAGTTGAATACTATTGTGGGTTGAGTTGTGTCCTCCAAAAGAATGTATTCAAGTTCTCACAGATTCTTACCCACGTGACTCTATTTGGACATAGGGTCTCCACAGTGTGATCAAGTTAGGGTCGTATGGGATTAGGTCATACTGGATTTTGGATCAGTGAGCTCCAGATCAGCCTTCTCCAGAGAATGAGATTTGGAGACACACAGGGACAGAAGAGACCAATAGAAGAAGGCCATGTGGAAATGGAAGATGTAGAAATGGAAGCAAAAATTGGAACGATATGGCTGCAAACCAAGATAAGTGTGTATTGCTAGTAACTGCCAGATGCTAGGAGGAGGCCGGGAAGGAGTCTTTTCTAAAGCTCCAGAAGAAGGAGCATAGACCTGCTGACACCATGATTTTGGACTTCCACTCTCCAAAACTGTGAGAAAATAATTCTGTTGTTTTAAGCTGCCCAGTTTGTGATATTCAGTGTTAGCAGCCTGGGCAGCTAGTACCAGTGCCGTTGAGCAAATGACTTCTTTTCCATACTTGTTTGTACTGGGAGGATGCCTCTCAACTTGAACCTGGAAGATTTCATAGCTCAGAGAACTGTAATCCAGATGTAACGGTAAATAACACAGACAAACAAAAAGCCATCACTGCTAATACTGGCTACATAATGGAATTCAGCCCCTCTCTGCCTTTATGTAATACCATATTGTTACAGTTTCAGTGTAGTTTGAATTATGATGGGCACCTAAAGTTACTGCTGTCAATGTCAAGTTCAAACAGGCTCTAGTGCACCATCTGGTAGTCCAAGTGTGTTCTTAGGACAGAATATAAGGAAGCCACGTAAGTAGAACTGTTCTTCATGCTGCGGTGTAATCCAAATGACAATTTGTATTTTCATGTGCTCGGGAAACCTAGGAAATGGTTTATTGCAAACTGATATACTTGTGTGTACATGTAAAATAGTAAAGTAGTAAATAAAGTTATTATGCACAGCAAAAATAAAATACTTACAGATATGCGTGCGAACATATATACGTACATGTGTTTATTTATGTGTTTATTTATATAGCAGATTGCTTCCATAACTGAAAAATATGGTAAGTTCTCCCTCATCTATTCTGTAAGATCAAAATATATCCTATTTGGGGCGCCTGGGTGGCTCAGTGGGTTAAAGCCTCTGCCTTCGGCTCGGGTCATGAACCCAGGGTCCTGGGATCGAGCCCCGCATCGGGCTCTCTGCTCAGCAGGGCAGGCTGCTTCCTCCTCTCTCTCTGCCTGCCTCTCTGCCTATTGTGATCTCTGTCTGTCAAATAAATAAATAAAAATCTTTTAAAAAAAATATATATCCTATTTTGCTAGAAAGTTGAATGTTTGTCTCTATTTTCCCACTGTCAGTTTTTTTTTTAACTGCAGCTAAACCCTTCTAGTCTAAATGCTTACAGAGCAGTGTTTTACCCATGCCTGTAGAATTTGCTGTTAAAATCGAGCATTTATCTGTAGAGAAGTTAGCATATTTGGTTAATTGACAGAACTCCCATTTTCAGATGTACTTCTAATGAGAATAATTATGATATTCTATACAGGGTTATTTGGTGATTTTTACTGCCCTAAATCACTGTGCTTGTTCGCATACAACTATCATGCCTAAATTAAAACCCAAAAGAAAAATCCCCAAGGTATGCATGATGCATGTCAGTGCTGAAAAGGACAGATAAGGTGAATGTTTCCTGCTGTTAAACAGATTGCATAAAATCTTTTATAATTATCACATTTTAAAAAAGATAGCAGTAATGCACTTAATAACAAATGCTTTCTTTATGAGGAAAAGAATAAGAGATAAATTTTGCACAGAACTGGAAAGACTCAAGCCTAAGGAAAGGGGAGCCTTGTTGGCACAGTGGGTGTGGGTCAGGAGTGTGCCTGAGAGGTCCCCAGGACAAGAGGTGGGGTGGACAAGCTTCCTGACTGAAAAGAATACGGATTTGGTGCATTGGGGATGGCCTTTTCTTGTATGTGTTAGGGAACAAGAGACGCCAGCAGTTTATTTGCTTCTGTGTTCTGTTTCCCCATTAAACCCAGAATCTGATGTGCCTAAGTAAGCCCTTGGCACCTGAGTAATTACCAAATTGCAAGGGGCATACACCTTTATGCTGATTCGGGCTGTGAGTACATGACTTCTCACCTGCTCTGCCTGATTCTTCTGTCTCCTGCCCTAACTTATCTCCAGGATTAGGAGATACACAGTTCTTAACAGTGAGACGAGAGCACTTAAACCCAACTAAATCCCTGAGTAGTCAGATCCCTGAGAGTTACCCCTATAGTCACAGAACACAAGCAACCCCAGCACACTTGATCCTTAGCTAACGTACTCTCATACTGTCCCTCTCCAGTGGATCATAAAATTTTACGTGAAAAGCAGACACTTCCGGATTAGACATATCTGAGACCAGTTTACCATTCTAGGGTTTAAATTACTGAAACCGCTTACTCATTTAAGGACAGAAAAAAAATTTAACCACTATGATTTAATTTCCTACTTTTCTTTCTTTCTTTCTTTTTTTAAGATTTATTTATTTGAGAGAATGGAGAGGAGAGGAGTAGA